TCCCTTCCCCCTGTTCTCTGCCTTTTCTGGTTATTCTAACTGCTTCTTTTCTGAGATGGGACAACCACAATGCATTCGGTTTTCCTTATAATTGCTGATATTCTAGTAGATATTACTGTGATAGATTTCGGAAGAATGCTTTGTGTGTATGTAGAATATAGTAACTATTTTTAGAGTGCCTTTTTTCGTTGAAAATATGCTGAAAAAGTGTCATGCATCTCAATTTAGTGTATATAAACTTGGCAAGAAGAAGCCTTTGGGCCCCTTAACTCAAAATTGCTAAAGTTGAAATGGTGACCAAATCTGTGTAGAAGTTCTCCTCAGTCTGATAAAACAACTCCTTCCCGTTGTTCCCATTGCACCAGTTCATCCAATCCTGCCTTCTTTCCCAGTACAGCAAACAAATAGCACAAACATCTGTTGCCTTTAAAAGGATATGCTTGTATCCCCTTTTAATGTGATATTTTTAAAACTTGTTTTTCATCACACTACTAGGAACCCATAATCAAGGAGTTTAGGGTAATGTAGTTTCTAATTTCTAAGACAGAATCTGTGAATATGTGGAGAACAAAAGGAAAAAAACAGAATGGAAAAAAGATTTATTTTTTTAACTATTTGGTCTTTACATGGGGCTTTCATATTTCTGCAGCTGATCCCAATGTGGATTAGGGATAATAAACAGCCTATTAATGGAGGCCTGAACTAGGAAATGGAGTTTGAATCAGCAGCAAAATTCAATGGCTGGTGAAGGTTAATAACTCCATTACTACCAGCTCTCTTCTTTAGCCATTTGAAGAGCTCGGTGTTAGCCTTATCTTACTCCTCATTAATTGAGCTAATAGAACCCCAGTGACCCTACCATGCTGCCATTATCTGAGAGTTTACCAGACATGGACTGGAATACTTATCACTGAATATGTATTCCTCAGATGCACTTTTTTCCACTTTTTTTTTTGTTAAAGATTGTCTGCCTTCAGATTCTTTTCTTCTTTTCCGTGCCGCTATCTGTCACAGCTACGTATTTGAAAAATACTGTAAATGACTTAATTACAACCCTATCAAGGAACAAACTAAGTCCCAAAATAGTTGCATCAATGAAATAAAACAGTGATTGAATTATTCTGACGTGGAAAACCTTATAGGACGTTTTTAAAACTTTGGTCTAATCTAAATGATGGATACTGTACATTTATAATAGATATGTTTTAATTGATGGCATAGAAAATCTGATGAGTGACAAAGAAGTAAGGTTATAATAATCTCTTATTTTCCCCTCAATCAATAGGGAAAGGAGTAAAATAATAGGCAGGTTGGTTCCGTTTCACTTTTTCTCCTCTGATTAGAAAGCTGTTTCCTCTTCTCAGGCCCCTTAGCCTGTTTGCTGATGGTTGTTTTCACTAATGATAATTGGTTTCCATTTATTATCACTTTGCAGGTCACTACTCCCACTCCAGCTGCCCTCTTCCTCCTCCTCCTCGTGCTGAAGGCCCGGCAGCCAAATGTGCACAGTCTAAGGAGCAAGTGATGGGCAGGCAAAGGGGGCAGGACAGCTCTTTCTTGAGGCCAATCATGTCCTTGCAAAATAGAAACATATTTTAGAAGATGTGTTTTAGGTGACGAATTCTCACTCACTTCCCCCTCCCCAGCAGTGGTATTTGTCAGCTATGCTGACTGTACCTATGGGTTGCTTTACAGTGACAACTGATTTTCC